TGAAATATTGAAATATTTATATGGTTGATAACCCCGTCTGAGTCTGTTCCTCTTATCTGATTGGTCTTCCTCTGTCACTCCTAAGATGTAGCCATATCTCTCAGTTCCATTAATTACTCTCACTTGTCTTGTATCCAACAAATAAAACCCAAAGAGGTTTAGTAAAGCTCTGAGAGTTCTTATGTTCTGGTGCCAATCTTTCTGAATTGTCTTCCATTTCTTCATTACCTCATTTTCAACTCACTGCTCAAGACATGTCACCTATGCTTTCTTACATGAGTCCCTTTGAAATATCTTCCTTCAAGGCCCAGCTTAAATGTTTTTCCCTCCATGAACCCTGCTCTAGTTCTCCCTAAGCTATAAACTACTTCCAACTTCATCAACCAGGTCCACACTACCACCAGCTATGAACTAGATATGTTTTATTAATTTGAGGGTACAAAGGCATTCAAATCATGGCACAACCTCCAAAACTCCAAAATCGACTGCGGCTTATTTTTCCATATAGGGACTAATACAAGGATTTCATATGAATTATAGTATAATCCAGAGTATGAAAAAAAATATGACACATTTAATTTATAAAGCATTCCTGTGCCTGTTACAAGAAATTATAGTAAATATAATTAAGTACTTATCATTTCAACTTTATTTTTAAAACTGCCATTTTCAAAATATAAAAAATAGACCTGTTTTCAAAGAACCATTTAAATATGGCTTTGAAAACCACAACATAGATGGTAGTGCAATAGCATTCATAGATGTTTATGATAAAAATATTGGTATTATTCTGGTATCGCTTTGCGGCAGGCCTTTGTATTTATAGGTATTTACAATGACTCATAAAAGTAAAACCGCTAATAGCCATTAGTGTAATTTGTATTTAAACCTGAATTTGAGTAACCAACATAGATCAGTCATTTATTTGAGGTTCACATATCCGAAAACTGAAGTAGGAACTATATCATTTCCATAGTTTGTCAACAAACACATCCCCGTCATTCCAGCATCTGTATAAGGTGATCTAATCACAACTCCAGTAAGTGATTTATAGCCAAATATAATAAGGGCTGACACAGCTGGATCCTAGTTGAGATTTTATAAATTTAAGACACTAGGTATCCATGCCAAAAAATAATGGAATCCAGGTCTACATTTTAAATGATGGGAGAGTCTCTGGAAATAAAATTAGTAATGAAATGACAACGAATATCCACTACTACTCAAATTAAGGACACAACTTAAATTTTTCTAGTCAGTGTATTCCAACTGAATTAAAACTAAAGCACATTTATAGTGAGTTTTTTCTCACCAAAATATCCCAATTCTAAAATGGTCTGGATTTGGGCAACATCTTTTCCAGCAAATCCTTAAAGTTTAATTTACCCTTGAAACAGTGATGACATTCTTATAAGAAGCCATTTTCTTGATATTGCACAGAGGTCGATTTTAAAGCTAATCCAGGCACATGAGTTCAGAAAAAAAAAGTGCACTCGCCAAATTCACTTAGCAAATGTTGCAAATCCACTTCTACCTGAACAACAAAATGGAGAAATGTGTGACACTCCCCAGTTGACGTCAGTTTTACTGTCGTGTTGATGGCAGCCACTTCAGGCAGAAGTCCCACAAGTACAGGGAAGGCAAAAAGCAGAAAAACATTAAGATTTAGCAGTTCTTTGACTTCTAATGGTTATAGACTGATTTTGATTATGAGCCATGTTGCTGTGTAGTATTCTTCTGAGTTTTACATTTCAGACACAAGGAGCATGTTGTTGCCTTGGGCAGACATATTAGAATTGTCTTGTTTTAGCTTACTTTTTCTTTTCTCTAAGGTCAAGTAAAAAATGTGAGACATTTTCATATACCACAAAGGTAATACAGCAGGCTGGAGTCACTCTGATCAAATTGGGGGCAATTCCTTTGTAAAATCCACCGAGGCCTTCTTTCCTTTAGAGGGAAAAATAGATAGGTGCTTAATTTCCTACATAGCTAGCCTAAAGATACAAAAGTTTAACTGGCATAGGGCATGGAGCCAGCAGTCAAACCTCCCTGTGATTTAAGTCCGTATTTTCAATGTCCTGAAGTAATGCTGTTTATGACCCCACTTGTAGGGGCTTACATTTCTTTTGTGAGATGACTGAGGAAGAAGGGACACTTCAAAAGTGAACTGGAAATGCTTCAATGTTAACCACCTTTCAAATGTCTTTAAATGTATGAATATGCAGTAATATTAACTGATCTAATATAGGCATTAAAAATCTCATAAATGTTAGACAACACTAAATATAGCACTCAGTAAGATAAAACTGTATTTCCTTAATGCCTGGAATAGAAATATGGCCTTGGAACTTGTCACTTAGGTTCTTGATATTTACTAAATTGAATTAAATTGAAGATTCTAAATATTTTGCTTTGGCCTTTTAAAATTAAAAATAAATATGGGAATGTCTACTTATAACAGTTTAACTATTTCCATGCTGCAGAACAAGCATTTCTTCCACACATGGAAGACATTTACACTGTCAATAGGTTCTGCAACTTCAAGTGAAATAGGTATAACGAAACCAATTTTACCACAGACTGACAGATATAAACAAGAGTTGAGTTCCTATGGCATCTCATCAGTGTTATAAGGAAATGTTATTCAAGGATCCACTATATTTGCAAAAGTTATGGTGCCAGTATCAGGTGTGAAGCCTTCTTAATTGTACTAAACTAGGTCTTTTATGACTTACAAGGCCATTCAAATGTTATATAACACCTATATTTTGTTTTATTAATTTGTCAAAGCATTTTCACGGATCTCATTTGATTTTTATAACAATCTTGTCAACCTAGATAGATAATTTTACAAATGAAGAAATCAAGCCTTAGAGAGATTGAAGTCCATGTAGTAAATGGGAAATGGGAAAGCAGGGGCCACTTTCCCAACCATGTTTTCACCACTGCACACTGGCCTTTGCTATAAAACTAATGTCGACTAGGCAGCTGAAGATTTGCGAGGTACCTCCTAAGAACCATTCTAACATACTCACCTCCAGGTCCTTGTGATTACATCCAATACACCCTCATAAGACATGTGTTGATCCTGAAGACGAGCTCTCACAACTTGATATGGGTACGTTGCTGCTACGGCAAATATTTTGGATAGTGCTGCAACAGATATATATTCTGCTGTGCTCTAAAATGACAACACAAAACAAATTTTTCTTTAGACAGGATTTCTTGAAAAATATAGAAGTATAATTTATATAGGAAAACAAACATTTAAATGAATTTGTAAGTGAAAAATACTATTTCCCCTCTTAACAGAAGCTCTGAGCAATTAAGGGGTTCTATTTTTAACATCTGCGTGTCAAAATATAAAATATTTAACTATAAATTAAATTAGTGGCAGAGTCAATACTCAATATCATAGCAATACCACCAAAGTAAACATGACAAAATTTCCATCTATTATATACTCATAAAAGTAAATGATACATTTTTCTCAAGAATCATCTTACCAATTGGGCTTCTGGTAATCTACTGATATGCTGGTTGTATTTCAACTTCAGTAATTCATATGCCATAAACTGAAGGGCACCATGTGATGTTCCAAACAGCCCAGGAATAAATCCCTAAAAGGGAACAATTAAAAAAAAAGCTAAACTAAGCAAATTTCCAAGGGACCACAGCTTCCAGAGAGGGGAGTAAAGAACAAGTGACCTCGATGTATGACTTAGTGAAATGGTTACTTGACAAAGCTTTACCCAGTCCTTCTTACACCCACCAGTGTCATACTGATACATCTTAGTAATGGGGATAAATAGCTTAAAATACATTTTCAATACTATAGATTTCAGTTTTCATTCAATTGTTTCCTGCCTAAGCTTGGCTTCTTTTTAGATAGGACTGACTATAAGCCATTCAGAACTAGGACAATAGAGCCAAGGAAAATTACAGTGGTCAGTTATTAAAAAGGTATTGATAATTCATTACCTTATATAATCCACGCACACCTTCATACTTATATATTTTCACAAGTGTATCAAACATTCCATTATATCGCCGCTGTGAGGAGTTAACAACACCATCATACTGTAACATGAGGCGAGTTTTTGCTACCCATAACGGGTTTGTAATGCAGAGGGTCATGGCTCCTGAAATCAGATTTAAATAAGATTACTCAGCATACAGGAACTTTTTCACTTATGACAATCCAAATTAAGAAAAGTCCAGTTACATAAAGAATGGGGTTGCTCAGGGGCTGTACCTACAACAGTGAGATGGTTTCTGAGGTACAGTCTTAGGGCTAAAAGATAGACATAGTTTTTGGTGGTCATGTGGTTAGTAAATTAAAAGGAAAATGGAAATGTGAGACACTTTTCGTTTAAAGTGTGAGGATAGTGAAGACGTCCTGGCTCCTAAACAATGTGACCTGGTGTAGAAAACAGATGGAAGTCCCGGGAAGCAGACTCTGATGAGGAGATATTGATACTCGGGAGCAGGACATGGTAGAACCCAGAGGGGTTGAAGATTAGGGGAAAAGGACCAAGAAATCAGCACCTCAATAATCTGTGCACGTGCACATATATATCCACCCCAACTTTACCACAATCTTGCGCAAATCCATTCAAAGTTACTACTATACCTCGAACATTAAAGAACTATACAATGTAATAATATTTACACTCTTTACAGAAAGTGACAATTTTGTAAAAAAATCTTGTTAAGTTTCTCATTTGCTGAGTTTTCTAAGTAGGCCTTTATTCAACAAATATTTGAGTCCTATGTGATTCAGGCCTCTGCTAGCAGCTAGGTATTCAAAAATGAATAAGATAGTTCTTGCCTTAAAAGACAATCAGTAAACATTAAGAAACTAACGTATGTGAAGTATCAAAGTATTAGTTTTAAAGACTTATGGGTCTTTGTTTTTCCTTCTGAATATTATACACGAGACAAGCAAGGCTACTAAACTGTATAACTTTAAAACTGAAATTATATTTTAATTGAAGAAATGCTATACTGAATCACCTTAAAATATTAGATTTATAACTTTTCTAAATTTTCTTATCCTGTGATAAGTAAAATTCTTGAAATCTATCCAGAGTAATCAAGAATACCTGCTTTCTAGGAAATTTCATGTGATCACTGATTAGTATAGTTAGATAAGCCTATTTAAACTCTGATGTTCGAAGGAAAAAAAGGCAAATAAAACAAAAAACAAAGTGAAAATCAAGTTGCAAGCAGATGTTTTATATTTCACACACTGTCTTACCAGCTTCGGCAGCTGAGACAAGGTATTCTGTTGCCTCTAACCGTTCAGCTCTTCCTTCTGTCTTATATGATTTGATAGCATTGTAACTAAAAGAATAAACCATGAGCAGTTTAATAAATATTTTAAATGGTATCATAAAGCAGTTAAGTCTGTTTAAAGTGGTGTGTAACTTAACAGTGCACCAAAAGTAAAAATCAATGCATAATGCAGACATAAAATGAGACCTTTTTCAAGAACAGATTTGCTGGAATGGTTTACTGTATGATTATACCAACCCTCCCCCCAAATATATATGGCTAGCAATACCTATGTAGAATATTTTAATCATACTCATCAATTAAAAAAAAAACAAAAGACTAGGAAAACTGGGAGCGGGGAGGGTACAGTGATAGTGCAGTGATTGGACAAGGCAAAAGAGACTAGAAAAAGACACCTAACAAATATGTGCTGAACACCTATGTTCAGATACTATGGTTGGCAAATCTGATAAAAAGATAAACGCTCAGTGGATCCTTCCTAACAGACTAACAAAGACCATAGGCAGCACACAAATAATCATAATAAAAGACAACATAGACAGTATCATAAGAGTTAGAAACTATAACTTAGATCACAGAAAGCTTTGTATAGGAAATGGCCCTGGCTCAATATGGAGAGACAAGTACGGTTTCAATAGGGACACAGATGAGCATGAACAAAAATTATAATAAGGGTGGATGGGAAGACAGGGAAACTGGAACCACATTTGAGTGGCAGACTGACATTTAGGCTTTATCTAGCAGAAAACAGAAAGCCACTAAAAGGTTTCTGAGCAGGGGAATCAACTCTGCCTGTTTTCCCTAACTCCAATTTCCACTTTTCTCTTGAAAGACTTCAGCTAAATAAATCTTTCCACGCTTTACCAATGCCATTTTAACATGAAACAAGTACACCGTTTTATTATAAAAAATTTTCAACACATAAACCTTACATAGCTTGTCCTTAGAATCTCTTTTTTGGAGAACCTACATAATTCTGAATTTCACAAGAGCATATATTTTATACACATAGTTTCATCCTTTTAAGTATGTCTTAGGATTCAAAATAAGAAAAATATTTAAACAATACTAAGGCTGAATTTTATTTTGCTTTCACTTAAAAAATATTTCAAAATTAGTTTGGATTCTGCCATAAAATTGAGATAAAGCAAAATATATGACATATAAAAGAGAAAAAGACAAATACACCAGGTACTGATGTCTTCCTAAAAATGCCATCTATTAAAACGAAGAAAAGCCTTCCCATTCATGGATTCAGTTTCAAATGTCAGAGGCATGCTTAAGGCAGCACACACTTAGTGCAGTGATGCTTTGTTCTCTCACTTGTACACCCAACAGGTGGAATGTGCCTGCCACAGGCACTTTCCGTGGCTTCTTCAGTAAGCATGCAGTAGCAGTTATTTCAAATGGTGATGATACTTGACAGGTCAAGCGTGAAAGAAATGAATGAGCAGGTCAAATAAGAGGTAAGAAAGAACATGCCTCAAAATCTTTCAACCATGCACTGGCTTTTGCTTTCTGTTCTCAGTAGGGATTTTCCTGTGGTACATGTGCTTACAAAGAGTCCAAGATCTGTCCTCTGCTTTTCCAACTTCATTATGAATCAAATGTATTCTGATAAGCAATTTTCCTGAATTCATATCACGGAAATGGCTTCTGTAAAAGTGTTTCTCCATTTCATCTCTTTACCTTCTTCCTATTAAGAACTTTCTTCTAAACCAAATATTTCTGATAATAGCTAACAGAGAATGAAAGTAATAAGCCATTTTGCTCTTTCTGGCCCCTTCTATTCAGAGAAACAGTTAAATGACTCATCTTGCTCATCAACTGAAATATATATATATATAATCACTAAAATCAAAATTCCTTTTATTTAATACAGTAAAATCTCCCAGATCTACTCACAAGAAAAAGTAGAGGCCCCAGGATAAACCTGCACCCCACACATTTGGGGTTACTCCTTGGTAAAGTCCCCGTAGTCCATCAAGTTTCCAAATGGTAGTCAAGCAATGCAAAATTCCTTTGTATTTTGGTCTCAGTTCCAATCCGTCACTCACTGCAGTAAAAGATATACAAAATTAGGTAAGAGCAAAGTTCTACCTCTGAATCACATATAAACACCACATAATCAATCGCATAAAGGAGATAAATTCAGAAGAAAAAACTTTTTGGGTGAAGAAAATTATTTTCCAGGATAATTTAATATTTTAAAATAAATACATCCATGAATTGATTAAAATTTTCATTGAGGGCATACTGAGCAATCAAATAATATTGCAGGAAGTGTCAGATTGGCTCTTAAATAATCAAAAAACCTCTTAAGTAAATAGGTTTCAACACAAGTTTTATTTTCGTTGTAGATATCCAAGATTAAGGATTCAAATAATCAAAAATATAACTCAAAAAATAAACTAGCTAGGAGCCTTAATTATATTAAGAGTACTGTCAAGACCTGAGGAGTGGCAGGAAAGAAAATGGATACGGTTAAACTTTTTTTGGTAAATTCTTTCTACCCTCCCCACCAACACACACAAACGCACACCAAAATCAGCATAAGTAGAAAAAGTATCCTTCCCTTTTATTGTTTTCTTACTCTCAAAAGTTCTAAATAAAATATAATAGTAAAACAAACACTAAGTTATATAGATTTTATGTTTCTTAAATAAGGAGAATTCAAATCTCTTTTAGAAGCTGAAAATACTTGACTATAACTTCTATTTTGTGAAAGACTCCACAAACAAGAGATTGAGAAAAAAATATTTATAGTATAGAGTTAATATAGCTAATATAAAAGCAGTATGTGCAAATCAATTAGAAAATGCATAAACGGCCCCAAAGAAAAATGGTCAAATTATATGCACTATCAATTCACTTAAAAATACAAATAGCCAAGATGCTTTGAAAGATATTCAACCTCACTGATGAAATCTTATTTTTTGGAAGTTTATTTAATAACAAAAGAGGAAAGTTCACAATACACTCTTGAGAAGAAAAAGCATACGAAACTATAATTTTAATTCTGTTGCTAGTTGAAGAAAAGATGGTGTCCTAAATTAGGACGATGGCAGTGTGAACTGAAAGAGTGGACAGGTCCAGGAAAGATTTACGATATAGAATCAATAGGACTCCTCAACTGGTAAGAGGTGTGAAGCGAAGAAGGCTGCCCTAGTTGGTATGTGAATTGTTTCTCTCTCTTTTTTTTTTTTTTTTTTGCTACCATTAAAAGTTTGTTAGAGAATACTCTGTATAAGAATTTGTACAAACATTATATCCTTATAAATATTTACAAGAGGAATTAATATGGGTCAAAAGGTATAAATTTAAGGTTACAAATACATAATGAAATTGCCCCCCACCCCCTGAAAGTTTATACAAATTACAGTCCACTAGCCATATAAAAGTGTGGCTACTTCAACATCCAAAGAAGAATCACTGTTTACCACTGCCAGGTAAAAAGCGGGGAATGAATTTCTTTCATCATTAACTTGACAAGGTTAATCATGAAATCAGATTAAAGTATACTAGTTTTTGTCAAAAGACCTGGGTTTGATATCTGACTTCCCTAATTAGCTACATGGTCTTAAACTTTCCTGCTTCATTGGGATAAATATCACTTACCCTACAGGTTGTTGTGAAGTTTATACAAGTTTAAAAGCAAGTAGCAAAGTGACTGGCTCTCAAGAATGTTTCGCTGTGTACTTTACAATCTTTCTGATGCTTCCCTTAAATTTTATGTGTCTCATTCTCCTGTATAAATTTCTAAGTACCTTTCCATCTTCCTTTTAATAGTAAGCTCATAACACAATTTCTCTCAAGGTGAAAAACAAAACAAACCTTAAAACATCATCATTATGTGTCATAGGAATGAACCAATGATTTCTTTATTGTTTTGAGAAGCTATTTAATCCTTGAAGTAGAGTGTTAAATATTTCAGTAATAGGCAACAATATTCTATACCCTATACTTTCTTAAAACTATAATCTATTTACCTTATCATAGGATCAAATCTTTAATTTTGAAAAATATATACACAGGTAATTATTTTATCTAAAAAATAAGAAAAACTATCAACTACTTATTATTGCCAAAGAGGAATTGTAAACATAAGTAGGATTCAAACCATGACCCTTAGGTAAATGTAATCTTCGAGGCAAAATAAGCAATCACATTACAAAGTTATAAGCATTGTGATAAACATATAAAGTGCTACAAGAATACAGAGGAAACACAATAAATGCTGTGTAGAGAAGGAACTGGAAAGGTGCAGCAGGGTGACAGAAAAAGTGAGAGAGAAGATGGTCGGATGGAGCCCTGAAGAATGATTAGAAATTTGTGTAGTGTTCAGGGAAAGGTAGGGAAGGTTTATCTCCAGACAAGTGCAACAGCTGATGCAAATACATGGAAGCATCATAGCACTGGGCACTGTTAGGGAAAACACTGGGGAGCTGGTGTAGTTGAAGTGTACATACAGCTGGTGGAGTGAAGAGATGGTAGGAAATTAGGCTAGAAAGAAAGCAAGGCCCTGTTATGGACTGAATTGTGTCCAGTCTGCACCAGCTCCCCTCCCCCCCACCAGCCTCTACACCCACCAAATTCATATGAAGCCCTAACCCTCAATATGGCTGTATTTGGAGACAGGACCTTTAACGAGATAACTAAAATTAAATGAGGTCATAGGGTAGGGCCCTAATTCAATAGGACTGGAAATAAATAAAGAGGAAGAAACACCCGAATACACACACAACAGAAAAGGCCACATGAGGACACAGGAGAAAGCCAAGGAGAGAGGACTTACCAGAAACTAACCCTACTAGCTCTTTAATCTTGTACTTCCAGCCCCCCAAACTGTAAGAAAATAAATTTGTTGTTTAAGCCACGCTGTCTGGGGTATTTCGTATGATAACCCTAGCAGACTAATACAGGCCTAACTGCAAAGGTTCTTGAAAATCACAAGTGTCTATAATCTCGAAGTCTCAGATTTCTAAAATTTGGGTCCAAGTGTGCCTACATGTTTTAGAAAGGAAATCCTGGCAGCCCAGGAAGAATGAATTTGAAGGTAGGAAACCTGGAAGCAAGAAAACAAATTAATAGACCTTGCAGTTATTTATGAAGAGGATCGGAAGTAGGGCCTTTCTAATGTCAAATTAAAATTGCTATATAAATAGAGTGAATATTTTTGGCCTAAATAACTACAGCACTAATGCTGATGGTCAATCAACTATTTTGATTTCAGTTATCCATCTTCCCAAATTTTCCTCTTTTCCATCACCATTTCATAGCCACACTGTGAGCTTTATTATTACAAAGATGTGTTTTGACTGCCAGATCTTTAATTTTGTCCTCCCATCCAATCTCAATCACCTTATCTGTTGCCCCTGCCCTACTGGTCTAATACTCTCTCCCTTTCCTAGGCATGATATGCTTACCACAAGCTCATTAACTTACCAAGCCAACCACACTATTCCTCAATGATTATTTCAACTGTCCTATTTTCTGCTCCCAAACAAAACGTTGCAGAAGAGAGACACCAAGTCATACAGGCCTGCACCTGCAGCCAAAGCCAAAATTCTTTTCGTGTTCAAGCCACTATACACAGGGATTCTTACAGCTAGTAGTACAGTGAGTGGTTAAGTGACAGAGGGTTCTAGAATTAAACCACCTGGGTTCAAATCCCAGCTCTATCTTTACAAACTTGTGCCTTGAGCAAATTAGTCAACTTCTATTATCCTTATCTGTATAATGCAGATAATAAATTCTCAAAGTTGTTCGGTGTAGTCAAAAAGATAATGCATGTGAAGTACTTAGCTTATTGCCTTGTTCCTAGTAAATGCTCAATAAATGTACTTCTCATTATTTGTGCATGCATCATAAACTTCACAGAAATTACATGACTTTGTGGGTTTTCACCTAAGAATACTACTCCATAATTTCTACTGATTTTCCTTAATAGAATGGCTTCTTGCCTCCTGCCCCTCTGTCAAAATACTAGTTCTTCTATGGGGAACCTTAAGATCTAATGAAACCTTTACAGATACAGATATATATATATATATATACACGGTCATCAATAATATATAATTTTCTCGATAGTCTACCTCTACTCACATTTTGGTATTTGGATTTATTCCATTTTGTCCTTGGTTTTATGTTGTCTGGAATAATCTTTTATATGACTAAGTCTCAAGCCTACAATTAAGACTATAAGTTTCCTGAGGACAAGAACTTTTAGAAGCTTCTGTATCCCTTACTCATACAGTAGTCTACAAATACTAAGAGAACAGTGTATCAGGTGAATAGGATATAATTAGTTTAACTCTTTAAAGTAAATCATTTCTGCAGATCTATATCAAGGCAGAACTTGACATGTAATAAGAGAAATGAAACAGAAAATCGTTTCCAAATAAATTTATCGAAGACCTTATTTGAAATTACCTTTTCCAGAATTTAGTGTTGAGTTTAACTTCTGCAATACTTTGTTAATTTTAATATCCTTAATATACTTAATTCAAGGCGCTTAATTCGATAAACCTAAAAAAAATACTATTTGGAGATCAGCTACGTTTCCTTTACAGGACCTTGTACCACACTATAAACGCTAAACAAACTTTCAAGAGAATTCTATTTCCAAACCTGCTGGGGATTACGCCTTAACTCAAGCACTTGTATCTTCCTCTCAGCGGTGCTGACAAACACGTGGCTACCCTAAGATTTTAAAGTGCTTTCAACGTGTTGAGACCTAAGCCCAATCAGGTTTTGAGGCCCACATTCTACACCAGTGACGGTTTTTCTACCCATGCTCTCCATCCCTTAGTCCTGGGGAACAGGTACGACGGCGGCCAGATCCCTTTACCAGGCTCCTCTGCCTCAAATCTAGTTCCAGGAGAGCCCGGATGGAGAACGCCTTCTTCCACGCCCTCCTCTTACTATGGAAGCAGCAGGGGGAGACGAAGGCCTCTTTTTGCGCCTTTATCATCCAGTTCAGGGTGACAACAAGGAGGAGCCCAGGGTCTGAACGGGCTCTTACCGGCAAAGCGGATCTTGACAAGGTCCAGCGGGTGCAGCGCGAGGTTGGACAGGACCCCGCCGCTGACACCCGCCACCAGGTTCTCGTACCGGACGTGGCGGAATACCGCGCTCCACGAGGACGACCCGGGCACCGCCTGGCCCTGGCCCGTCATTGACTCGGCGCCCGCTGATACCACGGCGCCAAGGGCCGCAGAGCTGGGACTAGATGCAGTGGCCGCCACCGTGGGCACAATCGCTGCCTCGAAGCAGGAACCCCGTGGCGCTAGCCCACTTCCAGGACCGGCGCACGGACTCGGACGCACGAAGCCGAGAGACACGGGTGCAGCAGGAGCATGACAGTGGGGAAGCCGCACGTCACGCCAGCGGAGAGCGCGAAGGAGGTGGGGCGCCCGCCTCCGCCGAATCTCCGCCCGCCTCGCCTACAGCCGCTGCTGGCTGAGGCTGAAAGACGTAGATGGGAACGCACAGAGCCGACCCCGGCCAACCTTTGTCCACAAAACTACGGAGCGCCGCAGGGTCCACCTTAGGCGAACCGGTTCCACTTCGTGAAAGTCACGTGACAGGAAGTAGTCAAGAAGCAGCGGAAGTAGAGTTCTCCGGGACAGGCGGCGGTAGTCTGAACCGGGACGGAAAGGCTTGTGGACTTGTGGAGAACTGGCCGCCAAGATGAAGGTGAAAATGCTGAGCCGGAACCCGGACAACTATGTTCGCGAAACCAAGTTGGACTTACAGAGAGGTGAGACAAGTTAGAGAGCTCGCCAGCCTTCGGCCTGGTCTCGGATTCCACCGAATAAAGCTGGCAGGGAGACGCGCTCTAGTCTCGTTCTTTCCCTGTTCCCTTTGGCCCAGGCAAACTTTGTGCAGATCAGGCCGTTGTGAGACTGGGTAGCGGATAACTTTTCTTCATGTCCTTTTTCTAAGAATTTTTTCTAGTGGTAAGTGGAAAAGTTAGCTATATGGAGAATGCTTCCACTGCCACCCCCAGGTGCTGTTCTCAGATTTTTCTCAGGTTCTCGTGGTTGAAAAGTGGAACACGAATGAGTCAAACTCGTGAGTTGAAGGATTTAACAGTTAAACAGGCTTCTTTAAACTTTCCTGCTGTTCTAACTTCTGGCCATTTTACTACTTGAAATTATGTACTTTTGGATGTGGGAAGAGGCAAAGGTGAAACTTAAAGCCATTAGTTTTCTCTTATGAACAATTCTGGGAATTGAGACTGGCTAAAATGAAATCAATGAATTTTATTTACTGGTCTTTCTTCCTGTTAACATTGTATTTATCTGTACTGGTCTTTCCCCCCGTTGACTGCTTATGAATTACAGCTCAGAGAGCTACCACATATGAACAGACTATTCTAAGTGAAGAAAATAAAAAGTTCATAGGCCTTAAGGCAGGAATGAACTTAGGCATAAAAAAAGAGGGACCATGTCATCGGTGTTTTAATAAGGGATAAGTGATAGAAGTTGATGAGGTTGGAACAATATTTCACTATTTTGATTTGAGTAGTAGAGGCTATCATCGTATATACGAGCATTGGTCTCTACTTACAAGATGTTTACAAGTTAAGAAACGACAATAATGTTTCTAAAGTGCAAATTAGGTTATGTCACCTGGATTTGACATCACCTTTATTCCTTGAACATGTTCCCACCTTCCTCTCTAGTTTTACCAGTCACTACTCCTCCTGCAAGTAGCTTACATTCACCCTTGGCAGTCTGGGTGAATTTCAGGTATCCTCTTTCAGTCATCCTCTTTGAGGCATCCTGAGGCACACACCCTTATCCAATTTCTCTCCTTCCTCTGGGAAGCCTTCTCTAAAGAGTAATTCTTCCATACTTACCCTGTATATCCTTCCCATTCCCCCATTTAAGCACCCTTTTTTCTTTAACCAGTATCAGAGTGTTTATCCCATTGTCTCATGATTACTATTTTGATCGTCAGTCTTTCTCATCAAACTGAGCTTTCAGAGAGGAAAAATCATGTTTGTTTCTATATCCACCGTGTTTAGACAGCACCTGGCACATAGTAGTTGTTTTATGAGTCTTAATGCAGGAATAAATCTGATCTTATTAAGGGGCTTATGTAAAATTTTATTTCTTTATACTTTCTGATGAAAAATTATAAGTATTGAAGCTCTGTAAAACATAACATAAGGAAGACATTATCTTTCATTATTTCATTCTTGTTTAGCTGTTATTTCCTTGTAACTTTTGTGGAGTATTCAAATACTTGAGTATTTCGATTAATAGACCTGGGGTGGGCATCAGAGAATCTGTATTTTTAAAATTCCTTTGGTTATTCTGATACAGTTGTTAATGTACAAATGTGTGAGAACAACTTACATAAATTTATGTCATGAATATGTTAGCTATATTATCCTCAGTGCTGTGGCACATGGCCGATGCTCTATATGTATTTATTGCATGTTTATTGTTGACTGAATGTATGAATTCAGAGGTAGGAATGAGTAGTGATTTGAAAAACTATAAGAGACATGAGCTTTAAGCCGAATATGTTTAAAGGATACATAAGGTTTAGATAGGTTAGGATGAAAAGTTGGAGTACATTCTTGGCAGAAGAAATGACTTTTGCAAAGTCTCAAAAGTGGGAAATTGCCAGGCAGTTTTAGGTGACTGTGAATAAACCAATTTGGCAAGAGCTGAGTTTCAAAAAGCACTTGAAGCTGAAGAAGTAGGTTGGGACCACATTGTGGAAGACCAGAAAAGAGCTTGAAATTAATTCCATTGGTCAGAAGTCTCTAAATTGGATGTACTGAGCTGTCCATTGTGGAGTGGAAAAAAACAGTTCTTCACTTTTTATTTCTTAAAAAACAAATGAGCCTTTATTTATATAATACTTGCATTGACAGTGACATCCTCATTTCGTGCTGTATGTGGTACTTCAATATTCCAAGAAAAGACTGGAAGGTTGAGAAAGGTGTGCTTGCTTCTACCTTTGGAATATTGCAGCATGTTACAGTTTACATTTATTGGCAGATTATATTATTTTAAATAACAGAATCTGTATAACAATTTGTAAAGTGATGGGAGGAACCATAAAAATATTTTTTCCTGCAGAGGTTCCCTGGTAATACCGTGGCAAGTTCTTAGAAGAATTGTGGAACATAATGATAAGTTAAACATTTATTTAAATTTGCTAAACTTTTCTGTGGCTACAAATAGTTGGTAGGAATTTTTATTTTTTTATTTAAAAAATACATAATCTGCTACTTCTAGGTCCATTTTAATGATGAGTGATGAGTGAGGAAGCGATTACATTTCAAAAAATCTTGTGCTGCAGAAGGCTATTTTGAAAATTTATATTTAGAACTGTTTCCATTCATTTAAAAAGTATTGTCCTGAAAATGATGAAAGTGCCATCTATAAAAATTCATTTTTGACTACATAAAAATATTAGTAAACAGAATGATCTCTACTTTGTTGAGTTTTTTAACTGTTAAAATTATTAAAATGCCAAAATAGTTTTAGAAAGATCTATTGACATCAGAGTAAACGGAAATTTTCTAGATAAATTTCATAAATAACTTTTGCAAAACTGGTGGTTGGGACTGAAAATTAAATATTCTAAATGTGGCCAATGATGGATGTCTTCTCTTTGGATCTGCTCCTTTTTTTGAAGGGCAGGCAGTCTTCACTTTGCACAATACTGTATTAACTGAACCACTCCCACTGTCTGACATGTTCACAGTGACTGAAGTCACATGTGTTAGCACAAAACTGCAGAAGGAGGAGTTGGTTCCAGTATGTTTGTGCTCCCAGTAACGCAATACCAGGCAGTAGCCAGTTCTGCCTGTATCTTTTTCGACTATGGTAGCAATTAAAACCAAATATTGATATAAACTAAGTTAAAACCTTTGAATCACTCTATCATAGTGTTACAATGAGATTTTTTTAAACAAGCATCTTTAACATGCTTTACTAAATAAATACTGTGTACATATGTTGAGAGGGGGAAGATATGCTCAAAAACTCTGTTACTAATGGGGCACACAATCAAGAGTTTGAATACTACCACTGTAGGGAGCCTTTGAAAGTTTTCGAGCATGGGAATGACATGTAAAAAGCTGTGTTTTAGGATGATTAATCTGATTATAGTGTAAATTTCCACCAAGTAGAGTAGGGATGATATTACAGTAGTCCAAGTATAAAGTAATAAGGGCCAAAACTAAGTTACTAAAGATAGGAAAAGGGAAGAATGAAAAAGTATTTCAGAGAGAGAGTATAAGTAGGACCTTTAAGTTTTGGCATTGAGGAATGTGGAAGATGGACTATATAAGATCGACATGTTTGAGCTTGTTTGGATGTTGGATATAGTACAATTAATGGAGTCAGAAAAGACAGCAAGTTGACGTCATGGGGTAAGACAATTCATTTGCTTTTAGACATTGAGGGTTTTTTTAAACATGTGGGCTTAGAATTATTTCCTAAGCATAATTATTAGCTGAGACAACATGTTTGGCAGCCTAGCATAATAGTTAAGAACTTGGATTCTGGAGCCAGACTGCCTTGGTTTGAATCCTGGCTCTATCATTTCATAGACAAGTTACTGCTCTGTGTCTTAGTTTTCCCAACTATAAAGTGGGATATAGTAGTAGAATCTAAAACATAGGGTGCTATGGAGATTAAATAAGTTAATATAAGGTATTTGGAACAGTGCCAGGCACATGGTAAAAACAGTTTTTTAAGCAAATAAATGTAGAAAGTGCTCAATAAATAGTGGCTGTAATCGTAAACACAGCAGTGTATGCCTGTTACTACAGTGATTAGCTCTGGAGATTAATAATGTTCCTGCTCCACAAGGAGCTTAGAGTTCAGTGGGGGCAAACATTTACATGCACTTGTTTTGTGCCAGGCACTGTGCTAGGCATAAGGAGTAAAAGTGAAGAATGCAGTGGAAGCCCTGTCCATGAAAGCTTACAACCCAGTTGAGGAGTATAGTAGGACATATAAAAAGAAAAGCTGTGTGTATATATAGGGTCTAATTATTTTGCAAAATATATGCATTCTATGATTTTCTGGTATTCTGGAAGAAAGGTCTCCTTTTGAATTCTTCACAGTTGTAGGCATAGAACAGTGTCCCTAACAATGGCTTATTGAATGATTAGCTGAGAAAGACCACAGGAAATATTAAATGTGAATTGTTTTTTCAGTTCCAAGAAACTATGATCCTACCTTACACCCCTTCGAGGTTCCACGAGAATACGTAAGAGCTTTAAATGCTACCAAACTGGAACGGGTATTTGCAAAACCGTTCCTTGCTTCCCTGGACGGTCACCGAGATGGAGTCAATTGCTTGGCAAAGCATCCAAAGAGCCTGGCTACTGTCCTTTCTGGGGCATGTGATGGAGAGGCAAGTATCACTCTAAAGGTTGATATTTTAGACTAAAAGTAGTTACGTTA